AAGCCCCCCCCCGGGTTGTCGAGCGGAGCGAGCAGGGGGCGAAGCCCCCCAGTGACAAAATACATAAAAATACGATTTTCTTACAATAAGAAAACTCTTTATTTGACATGAATAAATTGTTCATTTGATTTTCATAAATGATTCATTGCAAAACTCAACTTTGAGGTATTATGATGTCAGTTTCATGAGAAATACGGGAAAACAAGATAACGGGGTAAAATGGGATGGTATGAAGCTTGATTACTACATAACTATGTTCACTAATTAAGAGGATTGCTTAGGGTGAATACGGATGAAATGGAAACTCGGCGGAGATATTTCCATATGGACATTTATTTTGCCCAACGAGTTGGTAAATTATATTTTTGACGAGGTTTTTATCATACTCGAATCATACACTGCTAAAAATTTTCCACTGAAATTTTCGGTAACGGTCTCGGAAATATCTAACCGGTATCGTGTACACTGAAGTTTCCAGGAATTTTGTCAAAGAAAATTCGTAATTTTATAGAAAAATCCGTGGAAACTAAATTTCAGTTTAATTATTCAGAGAAAATTGATGACAAATTAAGAAAATTCAGAGAAATCTCTCCTTAAATTCCAAATTGCTCTGAATTTTTCTGGAATTCCACGAATTTGCACAGGAATTCCAAGAATTTGTAAAGGAATTCCGTGAAAATTTTGAATTTTCGTCTTCCTGTGGCTAAAAAGTTGGGATTTTATTTGAATTTTCAGAGTAATTTGAAATTCCATTGACTTTTTTCGCTTAAGTCGAATTCAGGGTGTTTTTCAGGAAAATTCGGCCAAATTGTTTTCAGCAGTGTACTCGCTGATTATGACATAAATTTATGGCACAACGTCACTAAATTGCCGGATTTACAGGCTGGTGTGCGATAAATATACATTTCCCTACTGTTCTTCACTTTTCCTCGAACGGAGATTAGTATTGGCCCTTCTCCAAACTCGTAAAAGTGAAAATCACTGTGGAAAAATATCGTTCACGACTCGTGCAATGGGGTTTTTTACTCCTGTGGCGTTGGCGTTCGAGCCGAAGGCGAGGATGACTTGCCGACTACATGAGTGAAAAACCCATGGCACTCGTCCTGGAACATACTATCTAAAGCACCAATTTTATGGCATTTCTCATACTTCTGGTATAAAGCGATGATACTTTCTGTACACCCAGGATCGCGCCTGCTTCGCTGCTCATTTTTATTCATTGTTCGCTCTACCTCATTCCCCCATTTCATCTCGCTCTTTTCGATTATTAAAAATTGAGATGTCTTTGCACGAACATTAAGACGAATATTTTGAAAAAGAAACTTGAAATCGAATGAATAATTTTTTAGACATTGAACAATACGGTTTTATACAAACAATTGAATATCTTTAAAAGTTTTCATTCGATTTCACTCATCTAAAATCCCAGCCTGTAATATAGTAGGAGCTAGAATGCTATAAAATTTCAACTTCCTATTTCCATTTTTTCAAGCGTTATCGTGTTCACATCAATTTTTTTTCTGTAAAAATTTATTTAAAAAATTCGCAAAATTTTGTACGCACATACGGACGTACACACAGATATTCTCTAAAAATTTCACATCTCCACGTTTCATGACATTCTAAGGCATTTCCAAGCAAAATTAGAGAATCGAAAAACCGATCGATTACAAAGCTTTCATTTAGAAGCAATACTGTAACATTTGTAGATAAAAATCTGAAATTTTAGCTCATTGTAGCTATGATTGAGTTCAACTTTAGCGCGGTGTTTCAGTCCGACTGGTCCAGTATTTCCTGAGATATAACAATTTGTTTAAATTTGATTTTTTCTCAATATTGGCTGTTGGCTGTTTTTTTTATTTTGATAATCTGAAATGATCTCCAATTGCTATTAAGTTTTGCGTAGCCCTGGAGTCTCCAAAAATTATGATTGTACAATCAAAAAAACGTTGAAAAAAAAGCTGAACATTTTCGAAAAGCATTTTTGAATGATATTGGGAAATAAACCCCATAGGGAGGAAAATGCAGATTAATAATTTGATGTACCTAATGGCTGTTAGGTCGTCATTTGTCAAAGTAGTCAATGGCTGTCAGATCGTTAGTTACCATCATAAATTATCCATTCACTAGTTCCTCTCTGTCAGACTTATTTCTTAATCTTTATTAAAAATACTCTTTGAAAATGTTCAGTTTTTTTTCTACTTTTTTTGATTGTACGATAGTAATTTTTAGAGACTCCGGCGTGATGTAAAATCCAATTGAAATTGTGATATATTTTACATTCTGAAAATGGAAAAACAATCGAGATAACTTTCGAAAGATAATCCACCCGAGCCTTAAAGTCAAATTTTTGATTATTCTTCTGAGTTGGGAAGATTGACGATTAATAATCGTCACATTTCACACGATTAATAATTATGATTTGGATAATCGGAAATCCCTTAACAAATTTAGTATTATCTACTTAATAGAAAATTTATATTTTTATATTTTAAAATATTTAATTCATCATCAATTGGAACTTTAGATTATCAATTATTTTACTATTTTTGAATTTCAATTTAATTTAAACCTTGATCAATGTAAGTCCGAAATTCCTTTAATATTGAAGAATCGGGAGATTGATGGCCATCCCTGCTACTCAACGGATTTGATTTTTTCTTTTTTCAAAATACTCATCTCATTAAATTAATGAAATCAATTGCAAATCGTGAAATCATCATGATTCACGCCATCTTGCGTGACGCTCGGAATCACCGAAATCAATTTTCTCCGGAATCACGGAAATCCCCACTGAAATCGCGGGAAATCAATTTCATTTCGAAATCATAGTGTCACTTAATTGTAGAGTGAATAGCCCCTCAGTAAAACCATTAGAATGATAATCATCCCGAAATAAATACGAAATTCAAATTGAACTGCGAGAAGGGGGGAACGACCTTCCATTCCTACATTGATTCCAGTAATTTTTTCCTTTTCTCTTTCTCTCTCTCCCTTTTCTCACTAAATCGGGGCCACAATACCATTTATTTCCGCGTAGCGTCGCCTATAGAATTCACCTGGACTTTCCTAACTTTCATTTTCTAACACTCTTCCTCCTACTACTCGTTGCAACTGTTCTATGGTAGCAACGTGATATTAATTATTCATTGCACTGTGACGCCCAAAGTGTCTGCATAATCATTCATATGGACTTACACTTGCACAGCTGGATATAGTAATAAGACAAATGTGAGTAGAAAAATCTATTAAATGTATATTCGCTTCACAGACTTGTTACTTGTTTTATCGATTATCCATTAAAGGGGTTTGAAAAAATAATGGAAATCTCAGGGTCGTTTGCCGAAAATCTGAAAATCATGTATAATCGTAAAGCATGGATTTTCAGCATGGACTTTCATCTTCAGTTCAGTAGCGAAGTGGTAAAACGGTACAAGTCAATTTTGAATATTGACCAGTTTTCAATGAATATCTCGGAATCTAAGGGAAATAGTAAAATTTCTGTCATAACCTTTTTTGTAGAGCCGATTGAGAGCTACAACAAATGTAATTATGAAAATGCCGCTATCTCCCTTAGATCCGGAAATATTCCTCAAAAACTCAACTGGGAGATAAGTCGACTTAAACCGTTTTACCACTACGCTACTGAGTTGTTTCGGGGTAATTTACGAGACAAGTTTTTTCATGACGTTTTGTTTCCACATTATAATTATAAAAACTAGGACAACAAAAGAATTCCTTTGGTTAGAATTACGTTCGATCTTGTACAATGAAATTTCTCAAGAATTGAAAGAATCCAACATATCACGTAGGAAAAAACGGAATAGAAAACCTAGCGAATTCCCTAGAAAATTCTATTGAAATTCTATTCCAAATTTCGATTAGATTTTTGCGCTGATTCTATTGCATATTTGATAGGAAAAAGTTGATAGTTTTTGAATTTCCGTTGAAATTTTTTTGTTGAGATTTCTTCTACTAAAATTATTAGTTATGACTTTTCTAAGTTTTTTCAACTCGGATTCTATAATGCAAAATAAAACAAAATGCAGCGAAAAAAACTCGGAAAATCCGTAGCCAATAATTTTAATAGAAAAAATCTGAAGAGAACAATTCAAACAGAAATGCGAAATCTATTGTTTTCTTCCGATCAAATATGCAATAGAATTAGCGCAAAAAAATTATAGAATTTTTCAATAGAATGCCAATAGAATTCCAATAAAATTTCCTAGCGAATTTGTTAGTTTTTCTACAGAATTTTTTCATACCTGAAATCTCGAAAGTCGAAAAAAGTTGATGTTTTTGCAGCTTTAACTGTCCTCTATAAAAAAGATCTCCATTAAAATTCCATTATTGCAAAAATGAGTTCAGTAATCCCGTTTTACGTTTAATTATACCAATGCAAGGAGAAATGTCACACAATCCAAGAATATCCGTCGATTCCTATCAATAGCGAGCGATCAATGCAAAGAGTCCAACTGATTTCTCCCCGACCCCCATTTGACTATTCAATCTACTCACTTCACAATGAAAAACTTTCTTTCTCTTTAATTAAATTGCAAAAACTCTGATTACGATCACATTCTTATAACTAGTTTGGTAATCAATATGTAAGATGGCTTATCGCATCAACTGAGGAAGACTGAGTCTGGCTGGCACCCAAGATTAGAAAAAACGAAAGTGCCTAGATGCTGAACGAAAATATAATGAGTGCCATTGAAGAGAGCTATCGATTCCATCGGAATCAGCGATTGTTCGATGCGACCACCTGATGTCCTATAAATACTTATGGGGGTCACCAGTGGGTTCAGTATGTGTTGAGCTGCCAAGGTGACTGTTTCAAAAATAGAGGATAATGAAGATACTTGTGGTACATTCAAGCAAATCTCCTTCTCTTTTCAAAATTTTCAATTCATTTACTTCATTCAAATAATTTTTCATCGCTAACGACAAGTGTTCCTTATTTCATGTGAAGGTTGTGGCGTCAGTTCTGGTGTTGGCATCAGCAATCAGAGTAGATTCGAAGGTAAAAAAGGAGGTAAAGGGGACTAAAGCAACAAGGAGACAAGATAATGGAGTTTTTCGACTGACCTATGGATTACCGCAAGAGCAGTCTCACGTTTATGGACCTCCACCGGAACCGCATCCCGTTCATGAGCATCCTGCGCCGGATAATCAACATTTATTGCCCCAGGATCATCATCAGCAGTGGATCCCCCAGGAGCAGCATCACCATCACTTGATCCCCCAGGAGCAGCATCACCATCACTTGATACCTCAGGACCAGCATCATCATCATCTAGTGCCTCAGGATGCTCTACATCAACATCAGCTCCCTCAAGACCATCAGGATCACATCCTATTTCCTCACTTACATCCCGTTGCTCATCCTGTTCGTAAGTTGTAAATTGTTTTTTTATGTAAATGTTTTTTTATGTAAATGTAAATTATTTTTTTTAAGTGGTTGAAATCGCGGAATTAGCCTTGTTTTTTTTAATGAGTTTGCTCTGTATTTGTTGCGAGGAAGTTATCGAGAATAATTCTTGCTGACTTCCACATTTATTTAATTTGTTGATCCAGTGATTATGGAAATTTAGTCATCAGGAGGAAAATCGTCGATTTTTTCTTTTTTGTTTCTTTCTCAATTTCGTATGAAAAATTTCTTCTCACATTTCATTGTAGGGCTATTTGGTAATGAAATGAATTACACGAAGTATTCTAGTGAATTATGCGCCGAGATGAGTTCAGAATTTTTGTGTTTTATGGCTGAAAGGATTTTTAGATAACGTCGTGAATATCTTGTAAACTGGAAGGTTTAAAAAAATTGTCAAGGATTATTTTTTTCTTCTCCATCAAATTTCCTGAAAAAAGTTCTTTTGACATTTTAATTAAAGATCCTTTGTTTGGTAATTGCACGTTAATTTTTCAAGTGAAGTGGGACATTGAAGCAAAAGTTTCTTCATTTTATACAGATCATTTTGTTAATATCTCTGGAACTAGTACGTTCAGATAGAAACGGCATGATACTTTTAATTTAGAAAAATGTATGTCCTGCACAAAAAATTCCTAACATTTTTTGCTAAACTCATTAGGTCTCAAAATGTTTACTAAATTAAAAATTGCTTTCTTCTTATCAAATCATCACCACAGGCACTAATAAAGTCATTCCAAAACCTAGCAAAATCACTCGAAAATACTATTAATTTTTCACCGATTTTATTGAAAAAATCCGCCATTTGATTGTTCTTTTTTCATAGAAAATGTCCAATTGAAATAATTTTACAGAAAAAATCAATAGAATTTGTTTTTTTTTATACGACTTTTTCCATTGAGGTATTTTTCTTTCTTATAGATATTCCTCAACATAAATTTCTCCAGTTTTGTCACTCCATTTTTTCTCTTCGCATTTTTATTTCAAAGAAACTTAGAAAATTTATACCAAAGAAATTCTACAATAAAATCTCAGACCCGGTTGCACTAAGCCCTGTTATCCAAAGAAACCCCAGGGTAAAATTTATTCTCAGGGTTAATTATATCGCCGGGGTCATAATTTTTCGATATTTGACCCGAAGAATAGTTTTTTATTTATCCTGTAGCTCCATTTGAATTAACACTGATTTAACCTTGGGATTAAATTTTATTTTTTGTTCCTGGGATAAATTTGAGATACTCTCCCGGGTAAAATAATCCATTGAACATCCAAATTTACTTTTTTTCTTATCTGACGTTTTCGTTACCTGGAGCTGGTGCAACCGGGCCTTAATCGAATAGTTTGGATAAGAAAATTGAATTCCATTTATTTTCTCTATAAAATATTTTCTATTGAATATTGTTCATAAAAAACTGCGCAGATGAGCTGTGGAATTCGTCAATTAAATCTGTAAAAAACAAATAGAAATTTTATTAGTTCATAGTTATTGGAAAAAATTGTTGAAATGATACAATCCATTTAAAAAAATGATAGAATCCCAAAGTCATAGGCCCAATATTTCTTCACTTCCATTTTCTTCGAATCAGCCGACGACCGCAGAGTCCAATAACTATGAACTAATTAAAAATTCGGTTGAAACATTTCCACAAAATTCAATAGAAATGCTATAAAATTTTCTAGCGAATTCACTAGGTTTTTCTATGAAATTTTTCGTGCTGTTATTTATTAATCACTTGATCTTCATATCTTTTTCTCATCAGCTGCAGTTCCTGTACCACATCCGGTTCCAGTCCCCCAACCAGTGCCGGTGGGAGTCCCCCAACCGGTTCCAGTCGCTGTTCCCGTGGTTCAGACTGTCACGAAACCCGTGGCCGTTCCTTATCCCGTCGATAGACCGTATCCAGTGCCAGTCGACCGGCCAGTGGCGGTGCCTGTGGCGGTTCCGGTCCCTAAACCTTACCCAGTGCATATCGAGAAGGTTGTGCATGTTGACAGACCTTATCCAGTCCCTGTGGAGAAGCATGTTCATGTACCAGTGCCTGTCGATCGACCTGTGCCTGTTCATGTCCTCAAACCTTATCCCGTTCATGTGGAAAAACTTGTTCCAGTGGACAAGCCCTATCCAGTGCATATTGCTGTTCCTGTTCATGTCCCTAAACCCTATCCTGTTCCTGTGGCCATCCATTACAAATCCTATCATCATCATGGCGGGTGGTAAAGACAGATCGAGAGGCCAAAATTTTTGTGCTCATTATTTTGTAAATATCTTAGGAGCTAGTGAATTTGGAGAAAAATTCCAGAGGATTTTTTTGTAGGTGATTAAATTCTCTACAAAATACGATACACGATATTTGCTTGTCCCATCATATTTCGATATTTGCAACTTAATGTCGATATTTGCTCGTTCCTGAGACATATATGCATCTTAAATCTCCTTCTTATGGCATGAAAAATAAGAGAAAAGCTCAGAGCTTTCTCCAGATTATTTCGATTTCAAAGAAAATGAAAGTCTTCAGAAAAACGGTTTTACGATAAATATTGACTGACTTCTCAGATCATATTTGCGAAATAATCTTGAATAATCAGCTTTAAACTTTTCTCGTTTCATTAATTTTCAACTTTGAGAATGGATGAAAAAAATTCACTCTTGTTACACTCGTTTAATTCCTAGGCGATTTTGATGACTCCAAAGACTCAATTAATTTTATAATAGTAATTATAAGACTGTACATTATGGAAATGAGTTTTGTAGCGAGTTGTTAGCAGAATAAATATCTTTTATTTTCATACCAATAGGTTCTGGTTTTATTGCAGAAGTCATAGTCTGATAATAAAAAATAAATATTGGAGTGGGGGTGGCGTCAAGCGTTCAAATCGCCCCATCGATTTTCCAATAAAATCGCACTGTTTTAAAAATACATCGAAGGTCATGTTCGAGTCACTATGTGGGTTGTTTACCTTCGAAATTTGAAACTAGAGTAAGGATGATTAATATGCTGCGATTTGAAATACAGCGATAACTTTCGGCAGGAAATGCGTTCAAAAATTTTGAAAATTGGTGGCTTTCTCTTACCTCTTAATTGCAGTTCAGGGAAACAGGAATTATAAAATTATTTAAAAAAACAATTTAATCCAACGAAGCGGAAACTCGCGAACCAATGTCGAACTTTACGATTCTTAAGATCCTGAAAAAATATTTTCATACACTGAGAAAAAAAATTTCTAATATCTGAAACATATTCTCTTGAGAGAAGTAAATTATTTTCAATGGCTTAAATTTCAGAATGTGTGCACTTCACGGAACTCGAATGAATTTTCATTCACTATCGTTCCGCGTTACGTCATGAATATTTTACATATTGCAATATTGGAAGTGCATAACGAAAAAATTATGAAAACAATAAAGACTAGAAGATTGACGACTCTTCTATGCGATTTAAGTAAGTTCATTTGCGGCAAAATCATACTTGAGTACAAGAATATTTTAAAGCATGAGGCCTTTTTCCGGTCATGTGAGTTGAGATGCCTGAGAGAATTAAACAATTGAAGAAAATTTACTTGTCTGAAGAAAATATGTTTCAGATATTAGAAATTTTTTTTCTCAGTGTACAAATTATAGATATTCTACCGCCGTTCAAGGAAGCAGGAATTATAGGGGAGAGTTGGGCAAAATGAAACTGTCGAAAAACGACTGTTTGGGGCAATTCAAGCAAAAAAAATTTTTTCCATTCAGTAGAATGGAAAATTATTTTTTTGCTTGAATCGCGTCAAATAGTCGTTTTTCGGTCGTTTCATTTTACCCCATGTTTTATTGTACCCCACTGTCTCCTATGTTTTTTTGTCGCTTTCTTTCCCTTTAGGATTAGTACCCCGAAGACGGCATATTCTCAGACGAAATTTCGGTCATCCACAAAATGTTCTAAACGAGCACATTCTGCCTGTATTATACACAAATATTACAGAAATTTAATATTGATGCTGATCCCTGATTGTGCCACACGATCGATGTCTCTTCAAATTCATAATATGAAAACCGAATAATTTTCGAATGAGTTAAATGTAAATTATCAATCCCCAATTATCAAGCTTTTGCAAACATTTCTAAATAAAAAAAGAATTTGCATTTCTTAATTTATCGTTGCGCTACAAAGTAGTGAAACCATACATTGAAGTTCTTTCTTGACCCGAATGAATCATAATCATTAATAATCATGATATTCCACGTAAATTCCGTGCTTCAACAGTGAAATATAGATTGTTGTGATATAAACCTCAACCAGCCAATAAACACCCTTGTCGTGGCCTCAACCCCTTGAAGGCTGCCCTGTCAATCATCACCCCGAGGGTGTGAAAATTCCCACTCAGAGGTGACCGGTGGTAAACTAAAATCGTCCAATAAATTTTAATCAATCAAGACAGATATTTCAAACTTCGATGCGTTTCAATGTAGAGTGGCAGTCAGCAATCCATGAAACTTCATTGAGCTTCAGAGCGGGGAAAAAATATCTTATTGACACCGGAACGAAGACGTGGACTCTACACAGGCGTTCAACTTCATGGATTATTTAAACGACGCCCTCGGTAACAGATGTTGGACTTGACACTAGGGAGACCGACACCTTCGTCGGGGATACAACGTTAAAGGTGATAAGTTACATATCAAACAAGGGAATCCATTTATTTTCCAATTGTCGAGTTGAGAAAATAAAGTGCCACTGGGAAACGAAAACTTGTGAACATTGAAAATAATTCGGATTTTCAGTTTTCATTTTCTTTTCACTTAAAGGGGGACCCCGGGGAAATTTGAAAGTCTTCGGTGGATCTGGGGACTTATTGAGCGACTTTAGTTATATGATGGAATATGTTAAAAAGTGGGAGAAATCCCGGACCCAATCGGTTTTGCCCCGTACTTCCACCGAAAATGTCGTTTTTCCGGTTGCTACCTTTAAAACGTTCCTCGTTCCCCAATTTTGATCCGATTTTTTTTTTTCAAAATATTCGTGAGACTCCAAAGAACAAAGTTAAGCTTCCGTTTTACGATCCATTACATAGATCGTGAAAAAATCGAAAAAAAACAATCAGAGGGGAAAACCCTTTTTCGGTTTTTTCGTTTTTTTCGATTTTCTCATGATCTATACAATGGATCATAAAACGGAAGCTTAACTACGTTCTTTGGAGTCTCACGAACATTTTGAAAACAAAAAAATCAAATCGGATCAAAATTGGGGAATGAGGAACGTTTTAAAGGTAGAAACATGAAAAACGACGTTTTCCGTACGGGGCAAAACCGATTGGGTCTGGGATTTTTCCCACTTGTAACATATCCCACCATTGAACTAAAGTCGCTCAATAAGTCCCTACATCCACCGAAGACTTTCAAATTTCACCGGGGTCCCCCCTTAAGAATATCCAAATACCTTGGCTATTTTGGCTCCAGTGGAATGCTTTTCTACTTTTGTAGTCTAACATCAGGGCTTTTTTTCCACCATTTCATGCACGAGAATTCCTAATTAGACTAGATAAAAACTCGTTATAATTAACAAGTTTCTTGTCAAATGTTCCATAAAAATTTGAAGTATATTGTTAGTAGTTCTAAGCTACCACGACATCTGTAAATAGTTCACATGGTCTCATGTTTATAACAAGAAATATGTATGCAAATTGAACTGTAATTGTTCGGAAATGCTTAAGAAAAAAATCAGACCTTTCATTTGACCCTGAGTTTCCGAACATTTCACAATGATCTTATTATTTAAACTTTGCAGGCGTGAATTGGAATCTTGATAACATTTCGTTGGTCACGCCAGGAGTTCCGCGCCGCACTTTTCCGATTTTTTAAATTATACTGCACGAAAGCCTCAGAAAAATTTGAAAAAATTTGGTATCTCATTTTGAAGGGTCTAGAAACCCTATGAATGGAAATATCTGCCAAAAATAATGTAAGAAGTTGGATTTTCAAATTTTTATTACGAAACTCTGGGTCGTGTACCGTGTGAAATGCGTATTTTCAGAAAATCATGGTAACTTTGATCGTGAATATATAATTAAGGGTAACACTGAATATAAAAAATCTATAAGACTTCTTCAAGCAAGCGATCTAGATCACTCTTGATTTTTTTCATATTTTTTCTAGATCTTTCAAATTTATCATTATGTCGATTTATGCTGGTGCGGCGCGACCACCAGCGTTCGTAACTTTTGCGCGACCAACGGAGTGATAATGAATCCTTACAAAACATTTTAGAAACCAGAAAAAAATGAGAAAGTTTATTTTTGGAGGAGGATTGAAAATAATTGGAAAATTACAGTTTTTTAAAATTACGAAAATTATCGGAATTAACGAACAAATTGACGACACCTCCTTATATTTTTTTGTAAAAAAAAACAGAAAAGGCGTTAATTTTTCTTTTTTTTTCTTGCCTTTTACATCGACGCCTTTTTAACTGTGATTTTTTATAAGTCTGAAACATAAAAAATGAAAAAACGTTTTAAAAGTTTTAAATTCGCTGAAAATTCGCGGAAAATTTTAAAGATTCGGTTTGGTTTGTGTTTTGTATATCTAATATTTGTATTCATGGAGAATATAATATTGAACGTAAAAAAAGTTAGCCCCTCAAACAAGTAACAGTGATTATTTTCCAATTTCCAAAGTTTGATGTCTGCAAGAACAGAATAAGACTAATTTTTCTTTTCAAAGTTGTTGTGATTGTTTCGGAAGAAAATTGTTTCTCCATTTGTACAGTTCACTTTTTATTGATTTTCAAAGTGGAAAACTGTGCAGTAGATAGGCGTGGCGAAATCCGTAATTTGAGGTTTGTCCTTCATATTTATGAACTCTAATTGGGCACCATATGAGAGAAACGCCGCAGCGCGTCGTTTTTCTTCAATTGCCATTGACTAGTTAATAGAAAAAAATTTAAAACTTTGACCTTTTTAATTTTATCTTTTTCGATTCAAGAAATTATTTTCAATTTTGTGACTTTGGATATTTCGCTTTACAGGTAAACTAAATATTTCCTGGATAAGCTTTAAATGTTGTAGAGTCTGTATTTGAATTGAGGATAATATATGTTGACGTGCTGGTCGTGTGCACTGAGAAAAACAAATTATTTGAGAAGTATGTCTTGTGTCAAGAAACTCATGGCGCGAAAATTGCCAAGAAGAAAATATCGCACACTCAGAAAAGAGACCTTTCGTCAAAAGATTTTGTACTTGTCC